TACCGCACACGTCTGTTGGGGGGGCAGTGGCGTCACAAGGGGGGTGCGGCCCCGCACCAGGGTGACACCATTGCAGGGGTGACACCCAGCCCCGGGACGCCCCTCTGGGAGGGCACAGTTTTCTGTTCTTGCCTCGGGCGCAAAAGGAGCTAGCTACGGCTCTGACCGCAAGGGATGCACTAGAGAGCGTGTTCCCACATGGTTGGAGCTTGAAGTAATTGCAGGTCTCCTGACTGGTGAGTTCAGGTTAGAAATGCCAAATCCGGTGTTGTATGAAAAGAAAGAGAGCCATAGTTGGTAGTGTGGCTTTTGCTAGGTAGTAAGTCTCTTTCTAGATATTACAGCCATATAGTTTATTTGTTGCTTGGAATGGACGCTGAAAATCAAGGAGGTTATTCACAAAGCTAGCCGAAGGATCAGCCGTAGGTTAGGCTAGCTTCGGCCGACTGAGCCCTTCGGTTCTACTGAACTGAAGGGCTGCTGTAGAGCCTATTCACTACAGCCTATGTAGCTCCCGAAGTTGGCCGAGCGGCTCAGCCGAGCCGAGGGCATATGCTTTGGCTCGACTGAGCCGAGGTGAATGCCGAAGCTGGTGGAAACAGCCGGCCGAAAACCTGCTACTGACAGCTGGGCGGAGCCAGCCGTCATCTCACGGCTGCCTCCGGCCACTTGCAATGACAGTTCAGCCTCCCCTGGTTACTAGGTAACCAGGGGAGGCTGATCTGTCATTACAATGAGAACTCGGCGGAGCCAGCTTTGATATCACCGCCGGCTCCGCCGAGCTCTCATTGTAATGACAGCTGGTCCCGGCCAATAGAAAAGTTGTGTGGAGCTAGCTGTCACTGCTAGCTCCGCCCAATTGTTTTCTATTCTTTTTTTAAAACTTTTTTTAACTGTTTTTCTATTCTGCTCGGTTACCAGGGAGGTACCGAGCAGAATAGCTGAGCCGAATGCCGCTCGGCGGCATTCGGCTATTCACTCACTGCTGTTCGGCCCCTATGAGAATAGGCCGGACAGCAGCGAGTAGCCTGCTGGAGGTTCGGCTCAGCCGATCCAGATGTTGGATCGGCTGAGTCGAACTCCTTCTGCACTTCGGGTCGGCCGAACATGCTCAGCATGTTCGGCCGACCCGAAGCCAGCCGATGTACGGCTGAAGTCGGCTGTGCAGGCCTGAAGTGAATAGCCAAACAGCGTTCGGCTCACTTCACTTCGGGTCTGTTATTCACTCGGCTGCCTATGGCAGCTTTGTGAATAACCCTTCAACAAATGATCTCATGCAACTTTGAAGGTAAAGAGAGACTATGGGCAAAATAGCATACATGGTGCAGTCTATCACCAGTATTTACCACTGCAGTTTTTGTACCCCTCCATAAAATAGTTGAATTACCTGATGGTCCTGCCAGTACCTCTGTTATTTATCCACTTTCTTTACCCGGTTGAGCAGTCCAGCAAAAGTGGCAGCTACGGGAAGACTCGCTCTTATGGTCAGGGGCCATTGTAAATCAACCAGCGACGGCTATTGACACGGACGAGAGCACATCTGCCTGTAGGTCCCACAGAGGGGTGACAACGCTCCTGCGGCATTGGAAGCTGATGGCAAGTCCGTAATATAAAGTAAACTAAAGCCTGTAAAGTGCGTCGTTCGGACAAGTTTGTAATTCAGTTTCTATAGCTTGAGCCCATTGTGAGGGAGGGCAGCTGACCTCCCCCCCGGCCCTTATTCCCATGTCATTATGAGGACGGTCTTGTGAAAAGACTTTTTGTCTCCGATGAGATGGTAGAATAATGGGATGCCCTCAAGAGTGGCGTTAATAGAGTCAAAGAATTCCAACGTTTGCTTTTTAAGAATTCTTGCTGTGGGTTTATAACTGGCTTTGAGATGCCGGGCTATTTCATGAGGGTCTGGTATGGATTTTGATGAGGAACCTCACTCCAAAAAAAGAAAAGCATTCAGCGTGG